TCCCTCACCCCAGAGATTCTAATTCTGTTGGGGGCCTAGGAATCGGCATTTAATATACAGTGTGATGCATCGGATGCATGTTTGGTGTGCATCGGCACCCTGAGAAATACAAACCCATCAAGAAACGATCGTTCCATTTCACCCATTTAATGGTAAGAACTCCCTGTGCACAAACCCTAAAACCCCAAGCCCAAACCGAGTCAATGACAACTCATAGCGACCCTACCTAGGCTTTCCGAGCCTGTAGATATGTACAGGCCAAATCAGAGCTGGGCTGGATTTGAACCACCGAGCTCGCATTTAGCAGTCCAACAGTTATCAGACAGCACCACGATGTGGGCTTTGTCTTCAGGAAACATTCTTCCTGGTTAGAGAGACAAGACTGGTTATATGGGTGAACTATTGATCAACTCCAAACGATAAAGAATACGGAGATGGCATGTGTGTCCATTAGGACCGTGTTAGCTGCCTGGTGAAGTAGTCATGATTTCTTTTTCTCGTGGAGCAAGTCTGGAGATAGGTGGTTGCTTGAGCCCGTTTAGTCGGTCCACAGAATCAGGACTATCTTCGCAAATTCACAAAGCCTTTCCCTTATGATTGCTAGATGTCTCTTACTGCTTCCACCAGGACAGCTGGGTTCGCAGCTGGAAGGAGAAGGGCTAGGTGAGTGGATGGAAGAGGTTTGTACCTTTGTTTTCAGTAACAAAGGCTTTCCCAGGACATCCCCTCCAGGATTCCAAATGTTCCTTCACGGAGCCGGTGTGTAAAGAGTGAACGCTGTTTTCCTCCTCCTCCTCCTCCTCCTCCTTATTCTCCTCCACCTCCTCCTCCACCTCCTCTTCCTCCATCTCCTCCTCCTCCTCCTCCTCCCTAAGTGTACAGACAGCATCACATCACCTGGTTCGCTTCTGAGAAACGGCATCTCTCCTTCTCAGGGACCAGAGACTCAGAGAAGACATTCTCATGGAGTCTGCCTGATACCCCAAAAATAAAATAATAAATTTTGGCTCTCGCCCCCTCCTTCTCTCCCCCCGCGCCCCCCCTCCCCATCTCCGAACCCTGTATGAGATGTTGGGTTTCTTCTTCATGAGACATTGTTGAGAAGTCGCAGTGGTTGGAGAGGCGTAGGGGTTAGACTACCTCTACCCCCCACCCCCCCCTTTTTTGCCACTGGGAGGAGGAGAAGGGGAAGGGGGGTTGCAGAGCAAGCGATGGATGAGGAAAACATGACGAAAAGCGAGGGGCAGCAGCCTCTGAGTTTGCAAAAAGCCTTACAGCAGTGCGAGTTGGTCCAAAACATGATAGACCTCAGCATCTCCAACCTGGAGGGGCTCAGAACCAAGTGTGCCACGTCCAACGACCTCACGCAAAAAGAAATCCGGACCCTGGAGGTAGGTGTCGCCTAAGGGGACCCAGCAATCCTGCCTGCGCGCGCTCCCCCACCCCTCCTCCCTCGTCTCCCTTTTCCCTGCGATTCGCCCTGCTGCGGGGTGGGGGGGGGAGGCGACAAGGTGGGCACGATTCGGTGTTGTGTGATGCCTCTTCTGCCCAAGTCCACGCCGGTCGGCCGGCCCTTGGTTGCCGCTGTGGTCTACGCTTGGCTGGGTGGTGGTAGTAGTAGTAGTAATTGCGATGTCTTATTTATTATTGTCGCTGCCGTTCGCATGATCATCCGCTTCCTCCCGGAGGACGGAGTCCTCGGCGCCGCCCCCCTCCCCAATTGTGGATTTGTTTCTATGCCACTGGGGCTTGTGAGCCGGTGGTACATTCAGAAGCTGCAGAGCAGCCACGTGACCCTCCACATTCTGCAGGTGGTCAAAAGGTGGTGGGGTGTTTTTGTTTTTTTTTTTTGCTCGCAGAATGTGGCCACCTATAAATATCGACCTCCTCTCCGCGACCTCTTCCCCAGCCAGCTTCTTAGAAGCTCCTTGAGTGAGGCTTGTTTTCTCATGTGAGGTTCGGGTCAGGAGGCGAGCTGGATGGAACTGACAAGCCCCACCGAGCTGCCCCATTGCCCCAGCAGATCGTCTGGATGCAGTGAGCTCAGTTGCACGCCTAAAACATGTTTAGAAAAGGGGAGAGAAAGGAAAGGGAGACTAATGCCTGCATCAGCGCTGGCAAGTGGCGTGGGACACTATCTTCAGTGTGTTGTAAGACTCTTCAACAGAACTTGAGGGGGAGTTTGAAACAGTTTTTTTTTCTGGGGGTGGGGGTGGGGAATGCAAAGTTACTCGGAAAGAAGATGGCAGAAGTTATGTCTTCCAAGGGCCAGTTAGTCCCAGGAGGAAGGTTCCGAGAACATTGGGAGACAGCGTGCAGCAATGGTGGGAGAAGCCACATTGTTTTCGACCTCGGAAGGGCTCGCTCTCCGAGCAGCTCACGTTGGCTCACATGGCTGAGGCTGATGGCAGTGCCAGGAGAAGGGGCCCTCCCTGCGGTGGCGTGGGCACATGTGGCGCTGGGAGGTCCACGAGTTTCTAAGGACTGAACTCTCTGAAACCTGCCGATTGGTTCGCTTAGCCTCCTCGTCCCCCTGGTAGCTGGCACCAGCCGGTTCTAGCTTCTGATTCACTCGAAGGTTTTTCTTTGGCTTCCAGGGTTTTAAATGTGGCCAGATAGCAGCTCGGGCAGGGTGGTCATTGGTTTGAAAAAAGAGTCTGGGCCATCTGTGGGTGTTAATCCGCTACTTGCTACCTGGGACTCATTTAGATGTGCACCTGTCATCTGAGAAAATGGTCCTCAGGAAGGAAACGAGTTAAAGGGCAGGGGCGTTTGGGAGAGTGGGACTCGTGAAGGGAGGGGCAGGGA